CCCGAGCGCTTGCCATAGTGGGCCGTTTATAACGAAAAATACAGCCACCAGCCTCAAGATAGAAACGTGCGATTGTCATTTACGGATATATTGTGGATCATACTCAACCTATTTTTGAACACGACGGGTATATTTGAAATTTCGTTGAAGTATCCTCCGTTCCCGGCCACCCCTTCGGAAAAAGGAGCGCGCCTCGCGCCCTGGCCCTTTCTAATTTTGAACTGGCCCCTTTAAGCGATGGCGCGTCACCGCGACGGTCGAGGGTTCAAATTTCCGGGGACGCAAAATGGCGAGCGCTGCCAACCGCAATAAAACAAACAAAAAAGACCATCGACAAAAAAATGCAATATACTTAAAAAAAAAAAAAAAAAAAACAGCGGTTCTAGCACCAATCGTCTGGTCATGAAACGATATCGGGTTGGAATGTTCATGACTTTACAGAGGCGTACTGGTTCTAGTACTCACACGGACCGCCGCCACTGATTCAGAAGCTTCTTGGTCGCGGCGAAATTGCGAGGATAAAAGGGGACTATTTCCTTTAGTCTCGCCTTCGCAAATAACTGTCGGATCAAAACCACCCGCCTGACGACCGTCGAGCGCGGCTCATGTATTGGACACAAGTCCGTGTGCACTCCGGCTCGCAACAGACACTCGGGTAGTGGCTCGCGTTCAACCACTGCGGTGATGAGAATAGTCGAACATTTACAATGCCTGGAGCTGAGCACGCGTTTTCTACTTCGCCGACCCGAGCGCGTGGTTATGGTTAACATTGACAGCACAGGATAGGCACCAGGCCACGTGTTCTGGATGAACGATGCTCATATCCCGTACGAAAATGTCAGATTCAGGCCGGAATGAAAAATGCCGGTTCCGCCTAGACCCAAAATTGGAGCACCAGTTTGTATCCAGCCTGGAACCGCGCAGTTCCAACCCCAGTTTTAAACCCAGGACCGTTGCAGCGCCGGAATTCCCGCTGCGCGCTCACCACTGGACTCTACAAAAGAATATTGTGTTCTGCCCTTAGCCGTTACAACCGAGAGATCGTCGCGATTTCAGACCCAGGCGGACTGGGTCTGAAATCGCAGTGTCGGTGGGCAATTCTTGCGGTCTCTCGCAGGTGACGTGTTAGGGACAGGCGCATCCGCTACGCAGGCGCTGCGAGCGGGCGTTCTTCGCGCGCGCTCCTCGCGTTGTCTGTTGCAGTCGGCGGCAGTGCTCTCCCCCCCCCCCCCCCCCCCCCCTCCGAGTTTAGGTTCTTCGCTCTCGTCGGACTGTCGGCCGGCGCTCGCCCGGCGGCGACGTTCGCGTTGCGGGCGCACGGATACTGATCAGTGTTGCGGAATGGGCACCCCCATTCCATTCCAATTCCATTCCGGGGAATTAGAGTTTTCGATAATTCAATTCCTTTCAATTCCTAGGAATGGAGACACTGAGCCCATTCCCGCTCCTGGAATGGCTAAATCGTTCCCATTCCATTCCTTTAATTCCTAAACGTAAAAATTGGCACTTGACAGCTACATTTTGTTGCCGGCATGAGCAGCATAAAGCTGACATTATCAAATGCAGACAATTGAAAAAAAAAAAGAGAAAAAAAAAACTAAATTCCTCAAAACACTGATTTTTGCTAAGCGGACCGCTGACGGCAAAAAGTGTTTATTTACCATGTACTGCAAACATCGAGAAAGCCCCTTGATATGTCAATGCTTGTTTAAGACATCGGTCTCGCGACCACATGGCTCGCAACAAACAGCAAAACTTAAATCCACTTTTTCTTTTCTTTTTTTAACTTTTTTGCATTTGACTGTTAAGACATACGCGGCCAGCGTGTTTGTTTGATAAGACCATAAAGAATATCCAGTTCGTGCGTGGCACAGGAATAAGTTATATTACTGTATTCTTCAAATACAGCAACACGGCTAGTACAAGTACATCGGTGGCCGAGCGGGCTAGCGCACACCAGCTCGGAGCACGTGGAGCGAAAGCTCGCGCTGCAGAACCCAGGGATCCTGGGTTCAATCCCCACCCCTGCCCGTTTCGATCTGGATGAGCATCGTACCGGCGTACGGTCCTGTATCACTACTGCGTGGTGCACGTTAAAGACCCCAGGCTAGCGGTTGTACTGCACTGGCTAAATTGCTCATCTACAGCTGGGAGACTCGTCGCCCCTGTGAGGCAGACCAAGTTCTAGGCTGTATAAACATACCACACAACCCAACCCACCCAAGTACATTGCTGGAAGCGACTCCACGCGCAGCGGCAGAACACATCCTCTGACAAAATGCAACCTCTGCGGCGCAGCACGAGGGACCGTATAGACCATGTCACGAAACCTGTTTTAAAACGCATAAGTTCACGCTTGCTTTACGAATCTCGATATTTTTTATCATATTCAATTCAATTTTTGGCTGGTTCGCCTGCCCTTTTCCACCCTTCGCATACTCATTCTCATGTTTCCTCTTCAGATGGCGAATAAAGTTCGATGATATACGCCGACTGCACCGTGTATAGTTTCGTTGTACAACTTTCAGCGTGCAGCTTGTTTATTTTCTTCGCGACTAATGTAGAAAAATGTGTTCTACGATGCCATGACTCAATCTGTATTTATCTTGTCTTCTCGTCCAAATTGTGAAGTTCCTCTTCGCGCTGATCAAGTGGCGGGTTCAGGCAGCAGACGGTACCAACCGATTCATTCTTCTACCTCGGTGTCGGTTGTTTGCGTAGTGGCGGCAGGTCGGGGAGTCGGCGTTGACAAAGCTCTTCACATCAAGATACACTTAACGGGGTAATACCGCACCGTTTGAATCGACATTCCCCGTGTTTCCTCATTAACACCGTCCAACTGACTTCTCACCGCCTCAAATAGGGTCCAGAACAAGGAGCACGAATGCAGACCGGACAGCCGAGACGCGCGGAAGCCAAAACCTCAGTGGCAGCTACCACCCAGCTCTCCTCCTCAGTTGCCTTCACAGCAACAGTCGCACCTCGTCTGGCGCGGGACGGTCTTTCTGCAGGTCTAGTCAGTTCGGTCACACCAAGAGCAGCGACGATAGTCTACTTCACCTTACGATGGACCTCAACAGACAGCACGAGAGCCATCGAAACGAATCCAGTGCTTTCTGAGTGTCGGGTGACCCTGCAGTCCCGCTCACGGTGCTGGATTGCCTAGGGTGACTCGCAGCGTCCGCAGTGGTCCATCGCAAGGTGAAACGAAGTATGGAGAGACTAAAGTCAAAGGAAATGAGCGGGAATCCGCTAGCTTGCTTGTAACCCCAACCCACTATAACATAAAACACAGAAAACAAGCATCGGAACAAAGACCAAGTAATAGGCGGACATACAATACAAATGCAGTACAAAAAAAAAAAAAACAAGCCTCGGAGCAAAGCGCAAGAGGAGAAGAGGGAAGTGAATCTCGCTTTGTTTTAATGCCGAAGCAAACCCACATTTCACACTTCAAGGGAGTGCGCACGAATGAATGTGAAAGGCAGCAGGGTTGGCTGCCTGCTAAACAACGCGCCTCGAACTATAAGAACACAGTACCTGATCATCTTTCGACGGCGCCCAAGTCAACGAGTTCTGCGAGTTATGAGTCGCTTCCGCTCTTAGATCTCACTCAGTCTGTGCGCGCGCGTGCATTCTACAAGCCGTCGCAACAACAAAAAAAAGCATGACAAGAAGTACGATGAGGAGTTGTGCATGGCGGTTTCTTTCTTTGCCACTCCCTTTTCTTTTGCTTGGTGCTTGGTTTCTTGTTTCGCTCTCGTGTAACGCCATCGAAGCCAGACGCCTGCGCGTCCGTGAAAGGAGCCACGTTACCCCCCTTTGCTCTTTGCTTTAACGCTTGTTTTTTGTATTGCATTTTTTTGGCGTATAAGTCGGCTCCACGCGGGCAAGCAGTTTCCCGCTCATTTTATTTCTGAGCAACTGACTCACTGACTGGCTCGGATTAGCTAACAGTAAACACAAAAAAAAAGAAAAACAAAAAAGAAGAACCGTGCCCATTCCATTCCCGGCAAAAGGCACCTAATTCCATTCCCATTCCATTCCCCTCAACGTTGCCGCCATTCCATTCCCATTCCATTCCGGGGTCGTGAAAATGCGGAATGATTCCGGAGTCATTCCAACTCCGGAGTGGCAACTCCGCAACACTGATACTGATGCACCCATTGTTGCCCTGGATGGATACCCACTGACCTCGGCTTTGGATCTTCATAGTATGAAGCTGCCGACCCATTGCACTTTGGCTCGGCATCTGGATGCGCTTGGCGCTGGTGTGCTTGGTGATAATACCATAATACTTGGACAACTAGGGATACCGCTTGCTTGTCGGAACTTCCCGATGCGCTGGATACTGTGCTTGTGCTTGCTGTGTGTGTGTTCCGTGCACCGTGCTTGGTGACGACGCCTGGACGACAGTGTGCGCCTCCGGAATTCCCGCTGTGCTCATCACTGGACTCTACAAAATATTTCGCTCGCGATTTCAGACCCAGGCTCTTGCGCCTGGGTCTGAAATCGCGACGATCTCGCTTACAAGCCAGGCTAGATGCCTGGCTTGCAATCTACGAGCGAGGGATTTAAGAGTTAAGGGGAAGCTCCTTTTACCACATTCTACTTTAGCAGAGCGAACACTGAAGAGAGGCCGCCTCCTCCCCAGCGTTCGCTCTGCTAAAGTGGAAGGGGGTGGGAGCTCGAGCTCCCCCTGAATTCTTAACCTGTAACCTAAGAATATTTCATGTTGGTCCCCCATAGCTACAGTGACTTAAACATCACTTTTGTGCCCATTGTGACTTATCCTTAGTTCCCAAGTTTTTCACAAAGATGCTTCTCCCCTATCTTTCCTATTAGCACCCTTCGTTTCCTAACAAAGAATCCTTGAACCAATACCCAAATGGGGCACCAGTTCTTTGCAAAGGGGTGGATTGTGTAGTATGTAAGTAGTTTGTGATAGTATGTAAGTGATTGCACAAGACTTCAACCACGCAAACAAACAATGTGCTCTATTACTGCGAGAATGAAGAATACTGATCATCATGTTTAATCACATTTATCTCTAGCTCCTAGCTCAATGGTGAGAACCCACTAGACTCATGTGGATGCAGGTCTCCGGCTGTTGTGGGCCGCTCGTCCTGCGAAGAAACACAGTGGTGAAAGTTTGAAACAAAGATTCATAACAAAAGTAAACAAAAAGTTTGATTACTCTTTATATGACATTTGTAGAACTCTCAAAGGGGCACCAAACCACTTTCTGCTATAGTCTTTTTATGGTCACAGCTCAATCTGTAGGCTATAAGCACCTTAAAGGGATACTTCAACGAAATTTGAATATTCCCGTCGTGTTCAAAGATAGGTTGAATATGATCCACAATATCCGTAAATGACAATCACACATTTGTATTTTGAGCCTGGTGGCTGTATTTTTCGTTATAAACGGCCCACTCTGGCAAGCACTCGGAGAAGGCCCAGTGGAGACCACGTGACATCCAACGCAATCGAGACGTAGGTCGTCTCAGGACGAGCAAAGCTACGGTGAGGCTGATGTCGAGAGGATGGCCTAGTCGTTCAGCCACCGAAGCGGCTGCTTTTGTACGAATTTTGAGTGACGGGTTAATCTTCTGTAATCTTGTAGGGGCACAATAGCGACTTCTGCGACACACAAAAGGCATTCTCGGGAAGAGGGGAGTTCCTCGTTCCCCCCTTCTCTCGTCGTGGCCGGGGGCTAGACAACATCCGTCACTAGCTGTCAAGGTTCCTAAACGGGCATTACAAGCGAGGCATTAGCGACATCCACCAGGTGCTCTTTGCTAATCGTTTAATTCGTTTTAAAATTTGTTTTTGTGACTTTTTTAACAAGATATTGGTATGTTCAATATGATGCTGCTCCTTTGAACACATATAGACCAAAATATGAGTGCCGAAATTTCATTGTAGTATCTCTTTAAGAAACAAACATTACATACATGTGTGGCTGAGGTATCAAAAGATTGATTATCTAGGAACTATCGTGGACACCAGAGGGCGTCGTCGCATGAGAAAGGGCAGGGATCTGACCCTCCCTGGTCCAATTGCACCACCTGATGTCAATCTTTTGATTCTGATTTTAATATAGAAATCGGCCTCGCATGAATGCAATGTTTGGTTTATACACAAACTCATCTCTGTTACGTCACGCCGTGGTGGTGGCGCGTTGGGCGCACTTCCGGTCTGGGGCTGTGGGCGAAACTCCCCATTTGATACGTGTATTTCTGCGTTGTTTTAAAAGGAAGCTGACAAAAACCTGCCTTTTCGTCACACTGCCGTGACTGGGGCTGCTCCAAAGGAGTTGCGGAAGGTTTGAAGATCAGTTTTCATGTGTTCGGTTCGTCCGAGAACGTGAATGTGTGCCGTGACATTGGAAAACCAGACGCCGTCAGACCACGATTGCTTGGGCGGGAAGCACTTTGGGTTGAATTCACGTATACTTGTGGTCATCACATTCATTTGTTTTGTTCCAACATGAACGCCGGAAAACCATCAAGTTGTGCGGACTACCTGCGGACTAAGTTCAGTGCGTCTTCAAGCTCGAACGGCCGCCAGATCATTCAAACTGTCGTTCTGCTCTTTCAAGCGCTTCTGCTTGTCGTCTGCTCTTTTAGACGACACTGGCCTGTAGACCAAATGTTGGCACGGTACTTGCGAAAAGAAGTAAGTGCAGGTCTCAAAAGACTTAAGTTTGAGGGTTGGTAAGCAGGCTCGATGTAAACAGTAGATACAAGGAGATGTTGATAATTGGTACCGGTGGCCATCACCGACTTGTTATGCCTGATTCACTTGGTCCAACTCTGCTTGCGATTTTCAGTATCGACGTCGACCATCTCAGCTACGGTTCATACTTTTGTAGCCCGAGCACCGTCGCGACTGAAAATTGCGAGCAAAATCTCATCATGCGAATCAGGCTTTAGCGTACATTCTGCGGCGTTCATGCGGAATGAATCACTGCATGTCATATCATTCACGCAAAGTTTTGCGGTGTAACGAGGCTCGGTAATTTCGCTGAGGCCGCTCAACTAGTCAGACACTGACCAGGAAGACCTAGAATCAACAATTCAAACGCGAAAAAGGGCAGGGGGACTCACACCGACGCCGACAACATCGCATTTCAATGGTTTGTTTATGGGCGACGGCGAGCTTCTTGCTTACGCTCCATCGCGCATGCGTGGCAACAGTGGCGTCCGCTACGAGCGCTCTGGTTTGTTTGTAAAAATGAGTTGGTGTATTGGGATGCTTTGAGCTCATAGATTAAGTCATGACCATGAACAAACTATCACAGAAAGTAGTTTAGTGCCCTTTTTAAACTCTTGTAATCCTAAAAAAAAAATAAAAAAAAATGTGCAATTGATTTTTAAAAAAAATGATTAGAACAGCAAGAAGCATGCTGGATTTGTGTGTACATGCGCTGCACGTGCTTCCACTGTGCATAAGATGAAGAAAATGCCTACAATAAGGCAATGATTATGTCAGGTGCCCAGTGCCATTAGTTTAGATTTAAGCTCTTAAAAATTAGTGCTATGGACACCAGCCCCTGTAACTACACACCAGGAATGTTTTTGGTGTTCCAATTATTTAGTAAAAGATCTATTATTGTCTTAAAACTCAGGCTTTTTTCTTTTTTGGCATGAATAAACAAGTTTATTGCTATCCACACCAAAATTAACGGGGTTGCCTCAAGTACCTAGGACGATGAATGTTTTCTTTTGCCTCACCTGTCCCACTAGACAGCTCATAGGAGAAGTCCTCCTTGACAGCCTCATAGACAGCATCTTCAGACAGTTCTGGTCGCTGCCTCGACAGTTCCTGGTACCTCTCCACAAACCTAAGTCGGATGACATGAAATAACGTGCCTCCATCAGTTTGTGGAGACAATAACCGAGTAACCAACTGGCAAGTTGGAAAAAAAAATAGATTGATCACTGGTTTTATTGTGATCTCGCGGGAGAAGCGCACAGCCCGAGCTCTGCGAACCCATGCTCGCGCTTCTGCTTCTTTTGTCCTGCTCTATTTATCCCCGAAGGCATGCTCCAAGTTCAAAACATTACAAACCGAAAGGTGGAGTGGGAATGCAATGCAGGATATGCACAGCAGATATGACAAGCTGAGCAAACACCAGCTCATAAAAAACATTGCAGTCTAGCCTCACGTAAGTGCCATCTGCTATGAGTTTCATAATGGCCGTTTCTGTTTTGTGTGAGAAAGTATTGTAGAACAGGGGTCTCAAACACGTGGCCCGCAATGCTTTGGGAAGCGGCCCGCAAGCATCCTGCGGCTGCCAGCTCCCGTTCATATGCCTCGAGTGTCACATACGCCATGAATAATAGTTTATATATCGTCAATTTAATTTCGCTCAAAAAGGAACTCTGCTTCTGTAACGTGTTCACGTGTCGTTTGCACTATTCTGCTTATTTTTTGGACAGAGTATTCCTTCATCAAATTATTGGCTTCTCATTATTTTCCTGTCTAAATTAAACCGGAGTAGCAATACCACCACTAGGCTACAAGTGCAAACTCTTTGCCCAAGGAGGCACCCCAGCTGCACAAACTCTTGATCAGAAGAAACTGTCAAAAATAAAGCTATAAGCTCGGGCTTCTAACTGCCAAACAAAAGC